GCGTCTTGTCCTGCCTTCAGGAGCTTTGGAGAATAGCTTGACTCCGTCTTCTTTGTGGCAGCCCCTGAGATATTGGAACACTGCTATCATGTCTCTCCTAGTCCTTCTTTTCATCAAACTAGACATACCCAATTCCTGCAACCGTTCTTCATATGTTTTAGCCTCCAGTCCCCTAATCATTTTTGTTGCTCTTCTCTGCACTCTTTTTAGAACCTCAATATCTGTTTTACATCATGAGCAAAACTTACTAAGTGATCTAGGAACATTTCATTAAAATAGACAGCCTAAAATGTCTGTTGCTAAGCAAGACAGTTTATAAGTGAGTTTGGAGTCATTTTACAACCTTTCTTGCCACAGTTGTCAAGAGGATCACTGCAGTTGTTAAATTAGTAACAGAGTTGTTGAGTGAATCTGGCTTCCCCCCTTTAATTTGCTTGTGAGAAGGTCTCAGAAGGGAATCAAATGACCCCAGGGCACTGCAGTCATCATAAATATGAGTCAGTGCCCAGCATCTGACATTTGTTCATGTGATCATGGAGGCGCTGTAACAGTCGTACATGTGGGAAAGTGGCCATAAGTCACTTTTTTTCAGTGCTGTTGTAACTTTGAATGGTCACTATGTGAGCTGTTGTAAGTCAAGGACTACCTGTAGTTGGAACCCTCTGGTTCCATGATCTCGATTTGGGTGCTTGGCAACCAGCTTGCAATTACGATGTCGATGTGTCCTACAGTCCCATGATCACCATTTGCAACCATTGCTGCCAGCTTTGGTTGAGCGAAATCAACGAGGAAGCAGGCAAGAGGTTGCAAATGGCAACCCCCTGTCGGCCTTGGAAGCCATGTTTTACTTGGAAGCTTTGAGGCTGCCACATTTAGTGCCTGGGAATTTGGGAGGGGGGATTTCACAGAGAGGTGGAAGATTAGACACAACAACATTCTTTCTTAGAAAATCAAGGACCACATACTGCGAGATCTGCTTAACAACTGCAAACAGAAGTGCTGGATCTGGCATCACTGGCACAGCCACATGACTTCACACGTTTCCACGGCTTCCCTTAGTGATGGAAATTCCAGTCCTAATTGCTGTCGTTAACAGAGGACTATTATATGCATAGAAATAAGTGATAAATATTGTATTGTGGCTAGCGATTCTTTCTTTCCAAGCGTCTAGTTCAGGGGTGTCAAATTCAAGGCCTGCGGGTTGGATCCAGCCTATGGGGTCCTTAGATCTGGCCTGTGGAGCCGACCTGGAAACAGCAAAGGACCAGCCCATGGTGCCTCTGCCAGTGAAAACGGAGCTCAGGAAGGCTGCATGTGGCCCTACCGAGCTCTGTTTCTGCTGGCAGAGGGTTGCAGGAGGCTGTCGCACCAGAAAATGGAGCTTGGGAGCCCATTTTCACTGGCAGAGCCCTCAGGCTAATTTAGGCGCCAACACAAGTGATGTCGAGCTGGCACAACCATCCCCCCTCCCGGGGTCAAAGGCAACCCTGATGCGCCCCTCAATGAAATCGAGTTTGACACTCCTGGTCTAGTTCCTCTCTGTGCACTGTTTTGCTGGGAGAAAAGAGTAATATTTAAATCCCACAAGCCTTATGTGCATGGTCCCATTTAATATGTCTGATTGGGCTTTTCTCAGTAGCAGCTCTATTGAAAACAGGAAGATTTTTTCCCCCCACCTGGTACCTTTCAGACCTAGAAGCTGGCCTAGAATCTAAAGAACAGTTTCCTGGGAGTGCTTAAGAGTAGTTTCCATTGCATTGACAAAGAAAGAAACCATTAATCCTCCATTCTTTGTGCAGTCTGCCCAATGGTCCTCTTTTTTTTTTGCCATCAGTTTGTTTCTATGTTTCTCTTCCTGCTCTCTGATCCCATTAGTTCATATTAAACAATGGTTTTAATGCATAGAAGTAATTTGGGCTTCAATGATGCTTCAGAATTTTGCAACAAGACTTTCATCTCCAAGTCATCCATCTTCATTCATGCTGTTTTCAAATGGAATAATTGTTGAAGATTACAAAGAGGTTTTACAAAACCGAAACTAAATATAGATATTTCAAGGGCTAATGTGGCTGTAATTGGGTTCACCCTGGAAGGATTCAATGATTACACTACTTTCTACCCTAGAACACAAGAAAGTCTTTTTAGTCACTAATCCATCCATTAATGTCTTATAAAACAGAGAACACTTGGTAGGTAATTTCAGGGCCATTTTATTCAAGACATTATTACTTCTTCATCAGGGCCGTTTCATAGAACATTAAATGCAATTAATTCAAAGTCACGACAAAGGCAAATAGAAGTGACAACCAGAAAAAGTTAAGACCCTGATGCACAACACCACACTAAGTAGACAACAGTCAAGAGTACAGAAACTTTTAAGTGACATATGGTGTTCAAATACGTTATTCTCCTATGTAGAATTTTCTTGAGTGCTTTTTCCAGCCAGGACACAGTGATTAAATCTGAAATACTTTGTGTCAAAGGAAGTGCTGTAGAACTCAGCCATTCTAGCCTGTGAACCTTTGAAACAACCAAATTTACACTTATTAGCATGAACACCACACATTTTTATCCTCAACTAAAGGAATTTATAAGTCTTCTAGGATATACATATACTTCAGAGTGGTGAACAACAATTAAAACATATGGAAAATTAAACCAATTTAAAAGAATAGTAAAAGTAAGCAGATACAATAGCTAGCTATATTAGTTGTAGAATGCTTTTAGATTTTTTTTACCATATATTTTACACTATTCTACTTTATTTTGGTTATCACAGTAATTACTTACAGGCTGTTTTCCAGAGAAACATGGCATACAAAAAACTGAATAGAATGCTCTGTTCTAGAACTTAATTGAGTAATGTTTCTGTAAAAGACCACTAGACAACTATCAGTGATCTTCCCTGCAAACATATGTATATTATGTATATGTATATATAACATATACAGTGGTGCTCTCTGACCTTGGCTGTTTTCTTATAGATGTTTCATTACCAAACTAGGTAACATTATCAGTGCACCATCTGCAAGAAAACAATCAAGCTCAGAGCATACCAAGGACCCCACAGTCCAACGCTGAACTACACATATTCTCTTCAAAATCATATACAGATTAACTTTAAAGTCCTTTGTAAGTCACGGTACGTATGATTACCAATATTATCCCAAAATCCGTTTATTTGAATTAACCAGTTGGACTGATCCAATATGCTAAGCTGTAAGAACAACAAACCACATTTAGACTTAGCATGTTGAATGAAATGGTGACATGTTTGAAAAGTATAACAGTTAGTTTTCAAAATTAATGCAAACTATAAAACAAATGTAAGGTATTTCCAGTTGATGTTCTGATTGTTCCAGAGACATTCTTGTTAAATAGATAAATGGTGATGATAATAACCAAGTGCACACATCACACAAAGCCATTCATCTGCATGATCTTCAGAAACTTGGATTCAATTCTCCACATTGGCTTTGCTGGTGAGGCATTATCGGAGTTGAAGTCCACATGGAGATGGCTATCCTTAGGCCCTGGTTTTCTTAACAGAGGTTTCTTGTGAACTTACCTTAAATCAATATAGCATAGTTCCCCAAAGACGATAACACAGTGTGTGATATCAAAACAAAACTCACTTTATACAATCTGTGAACCCACTCTACCTATATGTCTGAGATCTGGAGATCCCTCTGGATACATTCATTACTATAGATCATTTTTTCCTAACCTGGTAATCTCAGATGGGCTGGATAACATCTCTCATCCTCAAGCAATAATGAGAAAAACCATAAGTTATAACAGAATAACAGAGTTGGAAGGGACTTTGGAGGGCTTCTAGTCCAAATCCCTGCTAAGTCAGGTAATTTTATAACCATGGTTATAAATGGTTTCAAATGAAGAAAATCCAGAAGACAAAGGAACTCGGACTGGAAAAAGCATGAAACACCCACACCCACACACCCCTCTCTGCCTTTCTCCTTCGCAGGCTTCCGGCGGGAATTATGAAATACCCGGCCCCATAATCCACAGCCCCAACCCGGCAGGCTCCTTCCAGTTGAATGCTGAGCCCGGAGAGAAGCAAGGACTGAGCTACGTGCGCGTCTCATTCCTCCCGCCCTCTGAGAACAAAATCAAAACGCTCCGTTGAGAGCTCGAACTTCGTGTCGAAACTATTCTGCCGCCAAATTTTCTTGCTTCTAACGAAAAAGCTGCTTTAGATAAAGCAGAACGATGCTGGCGACGGGCGCTTAAAATAATCATGAATGAAGCGGTTTGCCGGTGAATAAAAACAATGATTAAAGTGCGGTCCTAAACAGAAGGTCGTCTGATTTCAGGGAGATTTAAAAGCCAAATAAAGGGCAGCGCTCCTTCTAAATGCCGAAGAGCTTATTCGTAGATAAGAACAGGTTTCAACACTTGGAGTTGCAGCTTTATAAAAATCAATCAATCGTCAATGAATCAAATCATTTGTATGGAGAACGGCAAGTTTTCTGTGTCAGACTCACACTCACCTTCTACAGTTTTAGCTAATTATGTAGAGTTCGCTGAGAAGAGTTTTCCAAGCTTATGTTATGTGTGGTGCATCTGTTGAACATCTTCCTCTTGTATCACACTAAATAGTCCTGCTGAATATTCAAAATATGGAACTTCCTTTAAGTGCAATAAGGGTACGTTTTTCTGTTCCTTCCCAGTATTTCTGAGTTTAGTGTTCTTTTTCTTACCACTGCCAATAGTGCCAGACATTTCTGTTGGTGAAAGGCAACAGGAAGAAGAAGGGAGAAGGGGGAAAAAAAAGAAAGTACCTTCTCCCAGTTTTTCTTCCTTTCCTGGATCACTGCTAGCAACTGGTAATTGGAAAAAGGTATTTAGAGTTTTTGCTTCGGCGTTTAACCATTTTATGTCTTCCCCAATATTACACTTTCCGCACTGGTCAGACTGCAGCTGTGTTCACTTCAAGCAGTCATCACCTGGAAGGTGTGAAGGTGAGTGTAGGGTTGAGTTTAGAGCATGCACTGCCCTGTGCTTATGCTGTAACAGCCACAAGCAATTTCCTTGAAGGTCTTTCTCATCTCCAGACTCCGGAAAGCATATATAAGAGGATCAATGACCGAGTTGCACATGATAAGAACCAGGTAGGTGTTGAAGTGAGAAGTGTAGCAAAGGCAGTGTGGGTTGGTGGGGCAAGAAATGATGAGGATAAGATGGAGGAAAAAGGGTGCCCAGCAGATGATGAAGACACCCAACAGAATAGTAATCGTGACTGCCCCTTTCATGCAGGTGCGTTGGTGGGGGGGCCTATCCACCGGGAGGGCTGCAATGCGCTTGACATGTAAGCGTGCAAACAGGAACATGTGAATATAAAGCAAGGCCATGAAGAAGAGCATGGTGAAGAACATGGTGATGAGGCAGACAATGACCGTTTTGCTCTCATAGTAGGCAATGAACATGATGCCGCAAAAGATGCAAGTGGTCCAGATGATCCCAATCAGCATCAGAGCCTTCCTCACAGTCATGATGCTGTGGTACCGGAGCGCATAGAGAATGGTAATGTACCTGTCAACTGCTATGATCAAAAGGTTGCAGATGGAGGCAATCAAAGAGATACAGATCATGGAGTCAAAAACGTTGTCCATGTTCTGGATGAAGTGGTCATCGATGGTTAAGTAGCCACCACTCAGGATGGCAATCATGAGGGTCTCCAAGGCATTGGACATCCCCATTAGTATGTCTGCCACAGCCAGGCTACAGAGAAAGAAGTACATGGGTGAATGCAGGTTGCCATTCTTGATCACTGCAAGGATCACCAGGACGTTCTCAAGAAGGCTGATGATTCCAAGTAACAAAAACACTTCAGCTTTGATGAAGACTTGCTCACAGAACTCATGACTTCCTCTGCTGCCAAAAACTGAGTGGTTGACTTCTTCAGTGGCATTAAACAAGATGGGCTGAAACTTCAGAACCCAGGGTGCTGTGGAGTTCATCGTGAAGAGCAGAAACTCAGGTTTACATGCATTTATGGGGAAAATCCTTTAAAAGATAAAATGTAATGTATCCTTTATTCAATGAGATCAGTTGTAAAAAGAAAAGAAAACATAGAAAAAATCCTTATCTGATGCAGACTTCTGAATCCATCAATCCAAAGAAGTTAGTTCCTTTGGTGCCAGTAGAATCTGAGCAAACAGCAAATGCAGGAATTTGAGGAGACATCTCTTTAAAGAAAGGAAAAGTGGCAATTTGAGAGTCCCTTTCCAAAGAACCCTCTTGTGGATTTAATACGGCTGGCTTTGCAATCTGCTACTTTGTCTTGGGACCCCCAGTTCAGCCAGGACAGATCTTGTAGCTTCATCGATAAGGATAGAGCAGGAATTGGAGACAGAAAGATAGATAGGCTTGCATTGGATTTTATACTTTCCATCTAGAGAAAACACTCCTATTTAATCATCTGTGACTCACAACCACTCAAAAGCAACTTCTGCCTTGACGGATGGTTACCATCGCAGACTGCATAATCCTCATTGCTCTCCAATTCAACACTACTTAGTGCCCTCTAGAGATAAGAGAGAGAATATGTGTACAATTTTTTTTTTTTTTTAGCCCTGTAGGAATCTGTTACACACAGAAAAAAAAAAAAAAAGAATATAAACGAGGGCAGGTGGCAAATATATAATTAACAGAGAAACCTCATCTACTTTATAGGTGATAGTTGTCAGATGGGAACACTCTGAGAGGTTGCCCGATGTTCTAGATAAAATTGCAGCTGCCTTCATTACACAAGCACATTTGAGCAATCACTACCAGCTTGGTCATTGATATGCTAAACAAAATACTTCACTTCCTGATACTGCAAATTGTATTTTCTTTAGCCCTGTAATTTTTCTAGCATCATTCTCCAATTTCATCCCCCCACCCAGCTCTCTTGTGCTCTGCTCTTGACTGAATACATGTATTCAGTCAAGGCCATTTGGTGCTTCAGATCTGCCTTAATCATATATTTCCTTGGATGCATCATAATTGATGCTGTTTTATGTTGATTATTGTCTGTGGAATGATGGTTTAGGCCCTACATTTTGAAAAAAACTGATCCGAAGGCTTTGGGAGGAAAAAAAGCTCACCTTCTAATATATACAGCAACGATACTTTTGAAAGACATCAGCAAAGCCATTGGTATTTATTTACTTCAGTACCAAAATATTGACACCAACAAGAATATTATTGTAATTAGATTTATTACAGCCACTCACTCCAAAAGAAGGATGGTTGGATGTTTTATAGCATCCAATATAAAATTTAAAACAATGAAAACAAACCAACAAAGCATAATTTAATAAAAGGATCACAGGACAAAAACAGCCATAATAATAATTTTAAAAATATGACAGGCTCATTGACACATTAACTGGCCTAGGAACAGAAGAAAAATCTTCTAGAACATAGACATCTTCTAGAACAGGGGTATCAAACTCATGTCATCATGGTGGAGTCACGTGACATATTAGGAATTTCCCCCCCTTCGCTAAACCAGGCATGGACATGGCCAGCACGTACAGTAACTCATAAACCACAAACACACACAGAAAATAATAATTGTTCCTTCCCCAAGAATTAAAGGAAGATAAGAGAATGTATCAAAGATGAGTGTTAGGATGAGGCTGAGGTGAACATTTGTAACTGTTGGATATGCTATAGCAGGGGTCCTCAAGCTTGGCAACTTTAAGACTTGTGGACGTCAACTCCCAGAATTCCTCAGCCAGCATAGCTGGCTGAGGAATTCTGGGAGTTGAAGTCCACAAGTCTTAAAGTTGCCAAGTTTGGAGACCTCTGTGCTATAGGGAAGATATATACCACTAAGTACAGTATATACTATATAACTTTATATACTAACTTATACTACTATACAAATTTATATACTGTATTATATATCTTCTTGCAAAACTTGATGAACTGTAGAAATAAAAGACGTACAAAATACAGTTGGTAGCATGATTGCTGAGATGAAAGCACAGCTCTTTCACGTGAGAGGCACATAAAAAGGCACAGGGCTGACATTTTGACTTTTTGGATCCCCTGTGGATTCCCTTAAGCTGAATATCAGAAAAGAGAGAGGCACCAAAATCTTACTTGTAAATGAGAATGACTTGGAAACAAACAAACAAAAAAAGTAATCCAGCGTGTCTGAATTGCCCTAGGCTTTGATGAACACCATTTGATTTAGTCTTTTAATTCAATGTACCTAGACGGTCTTCTGGCCAAAATAGACTTTATGAACTCTAGCTAAGAAAGAGGCAATTACAGGCAACAACTATATAAAAATCTCTTGAGACTAATTCATGTCTAGAAGCATATCTTTTTGGCCATTAATTTTTACAGTCATTTCATTTATCCTCCATATAGCCTTGATTTGGGTTGGTTTGCATTTGACTTTGGGGCTGACTTATTGATTAGTTTTCTCCCATTTGGTCATGAGTAACTGTGGGGAAAATTATATCATTATGTTTTGCTGCTCCCAACTATGCCTTAGGACCAAATACCACAGAGCATGGGACATCTTAGATGCTTTGTTACCAATCTAGGTAACCTCATCAGGTCATGAGAGAGTGAAGTTTGCTGATTGTTTATACATAGCAATAGCACTTAGATTTATATACCGCTTCATAGTGCTTTACAGCCCTCTCTAAGTGGTTTTACAGAGTCAGCATATTTACTCCCAACAATCTGACCTTAGAAGGATGGAAGGCTGAGTCAACCTTGAACCTTGATATAGCTTGGTTGGGAGCTGGTTTTTCCTTGATTGTGTCTTGATGGAAATGTTTCTTCCCTGATTATTGTCTGATGCTGGTTCCTGCTTTATTTGCAATGCCTCAAATTAGAATAGTACTCAAGATGGGATTTCATCAATGCAGAATGAAATAAAACTATGACACTTTCTGTTTTGGACATTCAGTTTCTTGTTCTGTATTAATATTCAGCATATGATCTACAAATCCAGCAATCTTGTCCCATGCTCTATTACCTAGCCTATGAAATTTCTCAAGAGGAAAAAAAAAACTGAATAGGTCACTAGTGCATTTTATTCACTGGCCATGACTTTATGTATCATAGACAGTGATAGGATTCAATTTTTTTTTACTACTGGTTCTATGGGCGTGGCTTGGTGGGCGTGACAGGGGAAGGATACTGTAAAATCTCCAGTCAGAGGTGGTATTGGCCAGTTCTCCAAACTACTCAAAATTTCCGCTACCGGTTCTCCAGAACTGGTCAGAACCTGCTGAATACCACCTCTGATTGTAGATATATAAGTAGTCCTCTGCTTACAACCACAATTGGGACTGGGATTTGGGTCACTAAGTAATGTGGTCATTAAGTGAGTAATCATGTTACCAGATCCAATTTATGACCATTTTTTTACCACAGTCATTATGAAAATCACCACAGTCTTTGAGCATATCGCATGGTTGTTAAGTGAATCATGTAGTCGTTAAGCAAATCTGTCTTCCCCAATTGAATTTGCTTGTTGGAAGCTGGCTGGGAAGGTTGCAGATTTGATCACACCACTGCAAGACTCTGCAACCATTGTAAATGTAAGCCAGTTGCCAAGCACCCAAACTGCAATCATGTGACCATGGGGTTTGGTATCGCAATTGCAAATTCAAGAATGGGCTGTAAGTCAAGCATTACTATATAGGTGTAAAATTTAAAGTTAAAATCCCTGATCAGTCATAAATCAAACATAGCTTTGTAATCACAAGGTTAGATTGTGATAATTAAGCTAATTAATATGGATCTTCTCTTTCCATTTCTAATTTAAGAGCCATGGTGGTACAGTGGTTAGAATGCAGTACTGCAAGCAACTTCTCCTGACTGCTGTCTGCCTGCAATTTGGCAGATCCAATCTCACCAGGCTCAAGGCTGACTCAGCCTTATATCCTTCTGAGGTTGATAAAATGAGGACCCAGATTGTTGGGGCCAATAGGCTTACTCTGTAAATCACTTAGAGAGGGCTGTAGAGCACTGTGAAGCATTATATGTCTAAATGCTGTTGCAATGCTATAATTAGTTTTTCCCTTTCATGCATTACTTTCAATTTATACCATAAAGGTTGATGTCTGAATCACCCATGTTTGTGCAATAATTCAATCTTTCCTTCCCCGTAAGCCACACAGCCCACATTGCTCTCTTCTCCGTTCCTCCCTGCGTGCCCTAGGATGAAGAAGGGGTGAGCCTGGGTCTTCCTTTGAACTCCTTTCCCTTGTTCTACCTCTTTCCTGCTCTGCCCAGCCAGACTTTGCCCTTCCTCAGTTTCTTCCACAGCCAACGGAGCCACAGTCCCACTCCCTGTCAGCTGTTTGTCTTCCTCTTTGGATTCAGACTCCAACAGGGGCATGACAGTTGCCAGGCCAATACCTTCCAAGCACAATGCTGTACCAGAAAATACTTGGCAAGGAGTCACGAACAAATCTTCACTCTAATTAAATGAACTAATTGTCTCCTGCAAACACCACTCCCCTTTCACTCCTCGTTATTCCCTATTTGAGGGGCCATTCACCGTCTATCTGTGTCTTTACTTCCGAGTCGATCCTTGTTCCTTAACTGTTCCCTTCTCCTGGCAGCTCTGTGCATGCACACATTGGGAACAGGCTCCAGCTGTTCTTCTGCCCCACTGATGTCCAACTCCAAAGGCAGCTGATAACTCTTGGATGGCCCTGGCCCCATCTCTGCCTCCGACGCAGAGTACTTGTCAGAGCTTTCCCCAGACTTCAGGACTGGCCCATGTTCCTCCCCAATCTCCTCACTGTCTGAGTCTGCTGTGCTGGTGGGCCACAACACTATCCCCGGGTTAGTGAAGGGAGAAAAAGTCATGACACGTCACATGACAACAACATGATGATGTGAGTTTGACACCCCTGGAATACAACCTAATAAAAGGAAATGGCATGGAAGGAAAAAAGATCAAGCAATCCTATGGAGAAAAGCAAGAAGGGCG